AGACCCTTTCACCCAGGTCTCTCACTTGTTAATACAATATGCTAATATCTGAATAACTGGCAAAGGTTGTTTAGCGTGTTTCTGGTGGTATACTCAGCCTTCATTAAAAGGCTCTCCTTTCTCTGATATCAAGGCTCTGTATTTTTGTTTCAAGTTACATTAAGAAAAGACACACACTTCCCTATGCCTGAAAAATTTCAATACCATGGATGGTGTTATAAAGTGGATTTATGTCATTTACATTCTGCTATGGAATTCAAACCCCACTAAAGAAAAATGCAGTCAGTACCATGGCTGGCAGGTATCATAGGCCGGGGGAGGCTATGCTTCCCCAACAGCCTGGCATAGCCCTGTCCATGCTCCACCCCCAGACTCCCTCCTGCAGTTCCTCTGTGGCCCAGGCTGGCTGCCGCCTGGGGCGCTGGAACCACGCCATTCGACTCTCCAGGACTGGGGGCGGCGCTCAGGGGGTGAGGTCTCGGGCACTGGAACTGCACTGCCTGCCAGGTGCTCCGGGGCTGCGGGCGCTCGGGCAGCCCAGGGCAGGTCCGGGGCCACAGGAGGGAGTGCTCTGGGCTCCTGCGGGGGATGGGGGCAGAAGTGGAGGGGGAGGAGAGGGGCTTCGGGCAGAAGGGAGGGGCCAGGGCTAGCCTCCCACAATGGCCAGTTAACTAGCTGCCCATGGTCAGTATCACTTATAAAAAACTGCACCTACTTTACAGCACTGAATTTACAAGATAGTATTTCCAGGGCATCATTTTGCCCCACAATTTTCAAATAGGATTTTTTCCAGTTTATAAGTATTAGTTTAAAAACCACATATCCATTTAGAGAACATGTACCAATGTTTTTTAGGGTCCAATGGCCAATTTGTCACTCCCTGTAAAAGAGGTCAGTCAGTGTCATCTTCTCCCCTGAAAGAAGATGGATAATTCATGTATCTAGCTTACATACTAATACAGTTGCTGTGGTATGAAACTCTGAAGCAATTTAAAGAGACAATGCCAAACAGAAAGTACAAAGTCTGGATAGGCCTTACTGTACCTTCTAGATACACCTCTACCTCAATATAACGCGACCCGATATAACACGAATTCAGATATAATGCAGTAAAGCAGTGCTCTGGGGTGGCGGGGCTGCGCACTCCGGTGGACAAAGCAAGTTCGATATAACGCGGTTTCACCTATAACACGGTAAGATTTTTTGGCTCCCGAGGACAGCGTTATATTGAGGTAGAGGTGTATAAGAATACTTTTCAATTGCTACAAATGGTGCCAATGTTGCTGCATAGGGAATTAATAAAACACAAGTTAAATTCAGATCTGGCCTAAGTAACTCGGTTTGTCTACATCAAAGTCAATGGTATGGCTCCTGTTTAAACCAGAATTAAATTTGGATCTTAGTTCTTAAAGTAGCTGGTATAAATTTTAAGAAATATCTTGTGTTTATTTGTTACAATACACCAGAACCCTCTTACTGCTAGATCATGTTTTTTCCATAAGCTGAAGTTCTTAGTAACTGGAATCAACACAATGTAAGGCACTGAAACAATTTGAGATTTTCATTCTTCTTCAATGTTAACCGAGTTGTCATTGTATCCCAAGTTCACTGTAAGTGGGTTGCACTATAATTAATTGTAAAGATCATGATGCAAAAATATCTTTCTATGAACATGCCTGGTTTTAGGAGTCATGTTCATAGATAAGAAGGGCAGTTCTCTTCTGCTCTCTTCACTGCCTACTTGATAACCAGCCTGCCTTTGCTCTTTGTGTAACTTATATTCTGTTCATAGGTGCCAGAAGAGAAACTGTATAATGGGGTTACTAAAAAAATAGAGTTATAATAAGTGAGGAAGGAATGTGGTGTGAGTATATAGATAGAATGTGAAGGATAAAAATGAGAAAGACACAGTATATACTAAATTTGTGAGCAATCTAAACACATTAAAAAATTTTCAGTACAAGTAGATTTACAAATTATTTAGTTTCAAACAATTCTGTTGGCTCTCAAGGCCAACCAAACACTGCTTTTCAGTATTGTCCCATCTAAAAGCATATATTACCTTGTTTTACCAACAAATTAAATCACTGTCTGGACTGGGTTGTAGCTGTTTATTTAACACGTATGATATGACTCATCCTCTCTCCCTATGCTATCCTCATCTAAATGCCCAGGAAAAGAAAATAGAATAAAACCATTCACAATGGTATTACTGTATGGCCAAGTTACTACACTGTATACATTACTTTGTCACTAAACCCTGGTGGTATACAAAACCTGAAAAACTTTTACATTTATCCCATAATTTGGTAATTATGGATTTAACAAATGGATGGTACTCTATTGCTTCTATTGAGTCACTAATAGTGTCTGCTGGAATATTAGGGGTTGGTTGTTGGCCTAGACATGTGCTTCTTTAAGAGCAGAAAAGCAGTGAATGTCTCCACTGAGACAAGTAGTGCAATCTGAAATGTTGGAATGTAAGGCTCAATTGGCCTCCCATTTTACTTTGAGTTTTCAATTTTTGTGGAGGTGCTCCTTTAACAGTTTTGGACTGACAGACAGGAAATTTCACAGGCGGCCCCAGGACATTGATGTCCTGGAAGACTCATTCAATGACAGACTGGGGACAGATTCCAACTAGCTGTGGAACTATATCCCGGGTGGAAAGGGGACCAGGGCCCAAGAGAATTTAAGATGCACAGACTTGGGGTGGATGGAGGTGAAGACTATTGCTGGAGAAGTGTAGGACCAGATGGCACAGGAAGTGGGGATTTAAGTAGCTTGGGGCCTGGCTCTAGCTGCCCTCTATCCACTCTTGTGCTGGAATTTTGTGCCCCACCACATTATGCATTATGAGGTGTGATCTGAGACACTCCATAGTGCACAGCACAGTAGTGCACTAAATTTAAAAACAAAACGCAACAAAGGATAGGGCACCTCATGTGATAGGCCAATCTCTGAGGCAGCTGGTCCCACCAGAGAACCACAAAATGAAGCATGGACAGTGGCACGTCCAAACCTTTTATGTAACTGAAGAATCCTTATCCCTGAGGCACTCTGAGTGGCAGTGGACAAAACATGAACCATCACCGCCCAGACCACCCTCAGAGGCTCCTCTTCTCTCCTTTCCTGCATGACCTTGTCTCCCAAGTTCTACTTGTCTTTTAATATGGCATTCAGTTTTTTAAAGAAACAGACAACATAAAATAATGAATAAATATTAAAAAATAAGATATGGGAAAGGTGGCAATTTTTAACACAATTTTAAAACCCAAATGACGCCAGTAAATTAGAACAACTCTGGAAAATTAGATTTTTCCTGTATATGTTGCTTGAGTGATGTGTAAGAGAGATCCTCACACACTGATGAAATCCTGGCCCCATTGGGTATGTGTACACAGGAATTAAAGACCTGCAACTGGCCTGAACCAGCTGACCCAGGCCAGCTATGGCCGTGCCATGGTTCTTCTATTAGAGTGTAGACATACCCATTGAGATCAATGTCAAAACTCCCATTGACTTCAATGGGCCCAGAATTTCACTCACTACATTTAGAAACCTTCATCCACTTAAATGGAATAGACAGGATAGGCCCCTGTCACCTTCTGGCTGGTGTGCTGTCACCTGCATATCATACAAACTGATTTTTCAATGTCATATAAACTGCTTTTACTAACAGAGTTTTTTGAGTGTCTAGCAAGGATCTCTCCTCCAGGCAAATCAAGAATAATGTCATAAAATCTGTATAGTATTCATCTCTACTCTATAGATTCCAGGGTTATTCTGAAAATTACATTGTGAGGCTCCAGTCTGGAAAGCAAGAGTGGGAGTGAGCACCCATTCTAGATCCATGCAGCAGCAGAAAACCGTATGATTTATTGACATTAATTAAGTCACATAGTTTCTTGGTTAAACATAGTTGGTTCTTTGCTCATTATTGAAGCCCATCATCAGCAGAAAGTGGCTCTAATTGGACCTGGCTAAAGAGCTTTTCATCATTCCTCACCCATGCCACAGCTTTTACTCAACTACATTCTTTCCATTAGTGGGAATGACCTTGAACCTCCCTTGAATGTATCAATGGTAAAGCTGACATTGCTCACTTAGGACAACATTGTGATGATTAGCTCATTTTGCTTTAGGATGCTGAGCGAGATTAAGCACCAAAAATCAGAAAATTATATTAATATTTAATAGTAGATTTTTGTTGTTTTTGTCATGAGCATGCTTGGAGTGAAACTGAAATGTGTCTGCTCATAGTCCATGCCTCCAAAAATCCCCTGTCAAGCCTTTATCAGTTGAAAATATTTGTTAGACTTCTTTGTGGGAAAAATAGCAGACAAAGGTGACCCAGTGAATACCACTTGCTTCTCTTTTCAAGTCTTTCACAAGAGACTACCAGACGAAATAACCATAGCAAGGGGTTTGTGTTTGTTTTTCCACTAGACCTGCAATAAAACATTTTTTATTATTGGTTGACTGCTGACAGCGAGCTTGGCACCATAACAGACACAAAGGAAGACATGGGCCCTGCCTGGAGTAGCTTCTTAACAGGATGTCTGTCTATGCCTGTGGGTTAAGTGTGTGACTGAATGCACCCTATATAAAGCAGACACAAGACACACTGAATACAAAAAAACAAGCGTTCTTGTGTAAGAGACAGAGGAAATCTAATGTAGTGTGAGTATACTAGATGCAGTGTGTCTAGCTGTAGGTGCTATATTGTGTAGGGCAGATTAATTCAATGTGCGTGAATGAGGGCTGTTGTGCTTGGCTGTAAGTGGAGGTGTCTAGGGGGTGGGGAGGAAGGTCTGAGGAGGGCTAAAATGTGCCAGTGCTTCAGCCCGGTGACTGACTGACAGTCTCCTCAGCCTCTTCACTGCCTATCAGTCCCCACCTTGTGGGGCCTCCCGGCTCCTCCAGTGCTTGGGCAGGCGATAGGGACCTGGCAGTTTCTGACTAGATGCTCAGCCGCTGACTGCCAGGCGCGCACAGCCATGGACAGCTCCTGGGTGGAGAACGGGACTCTTGCCCCCTTCGCTTCGCTCTCCCCGGAGCCCGAGAACAGCAGCAGCGGCAGCCCCAGCCCCTCCAGCCGGGTGCCGCAGGCAGGCACGGGGCCGGGGGGCAGCCGCCCGTTCTGGGACACCCCTCTGAACCAGGGTTTGAGCGTGTTCGTGGGGCTGGCGCTGTGCACCACCATGCTGGGCTTGGGCTGCACCGTGGAGCTGAGCCAGCTCGGGGGGCAGCTGCGGCGGCCGGTGGGGGTGCTGCTGGCGCTGCTCTGCCAGTTCGTGCTCATGCCCCTGCTGGCCTTCCTGCTGGCGCTGCTCTTCGCCCTGGACGAGGTGGCAGCGGTGGCCGTGCTGCTGTGCGGCTGCTGCCCTGGGGGGAACCTCTCCAACATCATGTCCCTGCTGGTCAACGGAGACATGAACCTCAGGTACCCAACCCGCCGGGGCCGCTGCCTCCGCGGGGCGCCGGGCTCATCTCCCTCCCCGGCGGGGCAGGCGTCGCTCCTGGTCGGAGTAAAGGACCCAGAGAAGGTGGCCTGAACCGCACTGGGAGAGGGAGGCAGCCGGGGGACTCGATGTGCCGGGGGCTCTGCGGGAGGTGGGGGATGTGCCGGGGGTGAGGGGGAGGAATGTGGAAATGCTGGGGTGGTGGTGGGGAATGTGGATGTGCCGGGGTGGGGTGGGAGGAAGGGGGAATGTGGAAGTGCCGGGGGTGGGGGGAGGAAGGGGTGTGTGGATGTGCCGGGGGGAGGAAGGGAGAATGTGGAAATACCGGGGGTGGGGTGGGAGGAAGGGGAATGTGGAAGTGCCGGGGGTCAGTAGCAGTGCGGGGGGGTGTGGATGTGCCGGACTGGGGGACGTGTGGAAGTGCCGGGGTGTGGGTGGGTGTGGACTGTGCGTGCTGCGGGAGGACTGTCGGGTTTACGGTTGTTTAAAATATTTGCTATTTTATAATCAGGTCTGTGCCAGCCTTTGCTGCCCCTGTTCCGGGGCGCGGCCCGTGGGTACTGGGACAGAGGAGCCGGTTTCAGGATCTCATCAGGGGAATTTTGGGGGGGACAAAAGGAGGCTGAGCTCTTGCGCTGTTGTCTCCCGCGCTGGCTGCGCGCCTCTGGGAGATGCGGGGAGCCCAACCCGTGCTGAGCACTTGCAATTTTTATCTGTTTGTGCTCCACGACCCCCTAAGGCAGGCAAGTTTTACATGCAAAAATATAATCTTCCTTTCACAGAAACACACAGCTGGCAATACCCCGCCCCCCCAAACCATATTCAGGCCAATATCCGAGCATCTCCAGCCTGCTCGGTAACTGAAGGGAAATTCTTGCAATCAAACAGCTACTTGCGCCCTGGGCGACTCTTGTGCCTCGTTACACTAAATGGATTTGTATCGCCAGCTCTTACTAGAGCCTGGGGAGGGATTGTTCCCCCCACCCTAGCAGCGGATGGAAGAGCGGCTCGTGCTGACCCGCTGCCTGTTGTTCTGTCTCCTCCCTCCTGCAGTATTATCATGACCGCCTCATCCACCCTGCTGGCCCTGCTGCTGATGCCCCTGTGCCTGTGGATATATAGCCGCGCCTGGATCAACACGCCTCTGGTGCAGCTGTTGCCTCTGGGGGCCGTGAGTCTGACCCTATGCAGCACTTTGCTCCCCATCGGCGTAGGAGTTTTCATCCGCTACAAGTACACACGGGTCGCCGACCTCTTGCTCAAGGTAACAACAGCTGCGCCGGGTCCCGCTTCTACATACACAGAGGTGCCCCTAGGGAGCTCCTTCTCGCTGGGGTGGTCATAGGGGTGTGGGGAAGGGCTCTGCTTCTCGGAGCCGCACTATGGGCGCTGCTGCTTCAGGATATAGAATGTACATGGTCTAGTTAAAGGATAAGAAAAGATGCACGTGGGGGAAGATTTAACAGATCTACAGTAAAGAGCCGGGTAAAGCTTGCTAAACTGCGTAAATATTGCCCTACGTCGTGAGTACTAAAGAGTAGAGGAGCCAGCATTGAGAGCAGTGTGCATGGTATCTGTTTCATCAGGATTGCATGTCAGTGTAGAAACTGAGCACTTCCGTGTATTGTACTGAAATCACTCAAATCATAGGATTAAGGCTCATCACATAAACTCGTGTAAACCCCCAGGACTTGTTCCGAATTCTAAACAGAATCTCCTGTTTTCCAAAAAGGAAGTATAAGCGCCCATTGTGGTCAACTAGTAATAAAATACTGCCCGTGCGTGACTATTTTCTTTAAAACAGTTACAGGCAGGATTAGAGTTGACTACAAGTAACTTTTTGTTAAAAAAAAAAATTGCTCTCTTACAAAGACCAAAGGATGAATCAATATTTCCCTAGAGTAACACTAAATAAAAGGTAGGCAGACAATGCCATTTCTTCAATGCAACAAGAGCAGATCAAACCACAAAATAAATGCTCAATATATTTCTAATTATGAGACAACATTGCTAAGCATGTGCTTTAAATAAATAACGTTATACATATAATCAGGTACTATATCCACATTAGAACTAGTAGCCTCAGTCCCACATGCAATAAAATCAGTAAATTCCTAACAAAAATAGTAATACGTACAACTATCTTAATTTGGAATAATTAAAACAAAAAGATAGCAGTTACCATTTTCTAAATTATTTCTTTGTTTGGAAATATACAAATTTTCAATAAGCATTTTTCATCAATCGTGGCACAACCAATTTCTATATTTCTGACTAAACCTTCATCATGCAAGTAATTTGTATGGAAGTCACTAAGAAAAATAACATTAAAGTACATTTATGTGCATGTTATTTGAAAATAATTTCGAAGGTTCAACAAAATAAACAAAGGTACCAGGATTACACCCACTGTTTTAGGGAAGGATGAGGACAAATAAAAAAAATGGTCTTACTGAACAACAGAAATGTACAATCTTATTACCTTTAACTAACATTATTAAGTGCAACAAAGGGAAAGAGAAAGGTTTGAGGAAAGGGAATTCATGGGGATAGAAAAGTGAAAGCATGCTGTGGAGACTACTAACCATAATCGAAGAGAATTACCTGATTGAAGTACTATTACAAAAGCCTTTAAACATATATTTATGTTGAAAGCAACAATAGTGAAATGAATATTTCTGTTCATCAAAAAACAAAACATGAAAGTTAAAAATTAAGGTAAACTTTCAAGCAAAACATGCTCGAAGGTAAAGTAAAGCCACTCAGCACACAACCAGTTAATACTGCAAAAATCACTCAATGGTTGCAGCATGCACAGAATACACTAAACTAAAAAGACCCAAACTCTGGGCCCAATCTTGCACCAATTAAAGTAAATTATATAACTGCCATTGAATTCAATGGGATCAGACCTTACTTCAGAACTGGTACCATCCTTTTTAACTGTCAGTTTGGATGGTTTATATCTCCTTTAGGCTTAAACTTGACATACACATTGTTAGGCAAGATGAAATGTCTTTAAATAGTTTATCCAATTTACACTTTTAAAGTAATATTTTAAAGTATTATAGCAAAAATAAGACTTAGCTTCATTTTCTTTTTAAATGAAAATTTACACACATTAATGCAGATTGTTACTGTCTTTCTGAGAAAGTATCCCAAACAAGTTATACTGTTAAAAACTAATTAAGAGACAGATTTTCCCCCACCCTTATTCACCTTGGGCCTGATTCAAAGTCCACTGAAATTCTGGATCAGGTCCAAGGTAAGAAAGGGTAGCAGAATCTGTCCATCAGTGGATAGGTTACAATAAGCTCTATGTTAGAAATGCTAAGGGTATGACAAACTCCCGGGAATTTGGAATTAAGCAGAGTGGTCTTTTCAATGTCCGTCAATCACATTTTGTCTGTTCACTATTCATATAAGGAAAAGCTTCTGCTGTAACTGCTACAATAAAATGTGCTGATTTTTAAAACAAATATATAGTTTAAACACTATTTTAATAATTGTGTATTTAATTAATTCGCTTTTAAACCACTCTAATGTAAGTTTTCCCTTCTTTTTTCTCTGACATATCTGATTGTGATTATTCATTATTGTTAGGTTTCCTTGTGGTCCCTTTTAGTGACTTTGGTGCTTCTTTTCATTCTGACTGGCACTATGTTGGGACCTGAGTTGCTGGCAAGTATCCCTGCGTCTGTCTACATAGTAGCAATCTTGATGCCCTTAGCGGGCTATGCCTCAGGATATGGCTTAGCTACTTTATTTCACCTGCCACCTCATTGCAAGAGGACAGTGTCCTTGGAAACAGGATGTCAAAATGTCCAGCTCTGCACGGCTATACTGAAACTAACTTTTCCACCACACCTCATAGGAAGTATGTATATGTTTCCCTTGCTTTATGCACTTTTCCAGGCTGCAGAAGCAGGGATTTTTGTGTTAGTGTACAAGATGTACGGAAGAGATACCTATAAACAAGATCCCCTAAATGAAGATGATGACACAGATATTTCTTACAAGAAACTGAAAGAGGAGGAAATGGCAGATACCTCATACGGCACAGTGACTACAGAAGAACACAATTCTATTCTGATGGAGCCTGCACAGACTGCACTTTAGATGGACAACAGAGCATCAGAAGGGGACGCTTGAGTTACAGTAATATTATATGGTATTTGCGATATGTTTTGGGAACTAGTAAACGGGCAGCTGGGGTACTGACCCGCTTCCATAACCCACCCATCTACTCCCAGTGTATAAAATGACCATACGTTTACTATTGTGCCAGTTGCGAATATTTCCCCCAACATATAGCCTTATATGTACAAAAATCAATGTGATACAAGGAGATAAGTCTACATCTTCATACGAAGAAGCTCTTTGGTGAATTAAGTAAGGCAGGGACAGGTACCAGAAACGAATGAAGCATTTTGTAGGAAAGGGTTAATTTGTGTATCACTGGTGTGAACAAATGAGCAAATTAGATTATATTTGTAAAGTGTCGTTCAATTTCATGCATCCTATTAGTTGTAAAAAACATCCTGTCTATTGTTCTGATGATAAATGCGTGGAAAAGATGAATTAATGCTGTATTAATCACTAATTAAAATCCCTCCAAAGATAATTAAAAATTAAAAGGAAGTGCAAGTAACGGTCTGGTTTATCTAGCGATCCAATGCTCAAACCACTCCTCCCTTCTTAAACTTCCTGGTCCCTGGCTCTTATGTTTAGTAGCAGCCAAAGAATTCATGCGTTCCTTCCTCCTTCACAGATTCAGCCATAAGTGCTGGAACTGGGGGTGCTGCCGCACCCTCTGGCTTGAAGTGGTTTCCATCATACACAGGGTTTACAGTTTAGTAGAAGGCTGTCAGCAGCCCCGCTAAACACATTGTTCCAGCGCCCCTGGATTCCCCCGCGTGTTGTTTCCGTCACAGACACGGCGCTATTACTGTTTGTCTGCGGCACACAGCCTCTTGCTGCTCCCGCGGGAATATCACCAATCAATCAATGTACCGGGTCTGCTCAAAAGAAAACGCTCCATAGCCTCCGGCTAAACCCCTCAGCTCACATGAGCGCGGCACAGACTCTAGGGCCCCCACACGGCGAGTGTAACTCAAGTGACAGAGGAAGGGAGACTCAGGACATTTAAGAGACAGAGAGAACCCAGGAGGGTTGTACCAATAAGGGGTTTACTTGCTTCAAAGACCTGCCTGAAGCTCTGCGTCCCCGCCGCCGTGGTTGCCCGGTGGCTCCCCTCCCACCTCTGCTATGTTCCTTGGACCCCGGGCTTAGCCGGCTCTTCCCATCCACTTGCTTTCCTCGCGGGCTTCCCGGGACAGCGATCCCCGCCAGGGAATCCGCGGCGAGGTGGTCATTACCCCTCCGCCAATGGCAGCAGCCCCGCTCAGGTGGCTGGGGGGCGGGAGGGACGTGCACCTGGGCCTGCCCTACCCCAGGGCGGGGTATTTAACGCAGCCCCCGCGGGCCCAGCTACCGGGGCAGGCGCTATGGCGGACGAGGCCATGGATAGTTACCTGTATTCAGCCTACACCCCCTACTCCTATCGCTACCAGCCGCCCAAGAGCAAAGGGCCCCCGGGCGCCTGGCGGCAGCGGGGCACCTACTTCTCGAGCTATGGGGACACAGCGGCGGCGGCCGCGGCCGAGTACTTCGATAACTACCAGCGGGCGCAGCTGAAGGCGATCCTGTCCCAGGTGAACCCCAGCCTGACGCCGCGGCTCCGCAAGGCCAACACCAAGGAGGTAGGGGTGCAGGTGAACCCGCGGCAGGACGCCTCGGTGCAGTGCTCGCTGGGGCCCCGCACCCTGCTGCTGCGGCGGCGGCCGGCCCCTGGGCTGCCCTCGCTGCGGCCCCGCGAGCAGGAGCAGGGCAGCCCCGCCACCGCCAGCGGCCGGCCCGTGCGCTTCCCCAGGACCATCGCTGTGTACTCGCCCATGGCGTCCCGCAGACTCACCACCTTCCTGGAGGAGCCCGAGGACCCGGGGCAGGAGGCGGCCGAGGAGGAGCCGGAGGAGGCGGCCGCCGCGGAAGAGCAGCAGCAGAGCACTGAGGCGGCCGCCGTGCGGGCCAGCTGGGAGCAGCCCCCCGGGAGCAGCGCGGAGCCGCAGGAGCCGCGGCCGCCCCAGCAGCAGGAGGTGGTGGTAGAGGAGGAGGAGGCGGCAGCTGCCCCGCGGCAGGAAGGCCCGGTGGAGGCCCCCGAGCGCCAGGCGGGGCAGCCCCAGGCCGCAGCCCCTCAGGAGCCGGGGCAGGGCAAGACCCGCCTGCGCTTCCAGGTGAGGGCCGGGCAGGTCGGGTCACCGCGTGCGGCTGCGGGGCAGGAGGTGGCGGGAAGCCTGGGGGCGGGGCCTCAGGTGACTAGCCCTGGAGCTGCCTCGATTCTCTGTGGCGGGGTCACTCCTTGCACGGCGGCCAGTAGGGCCCAGGGTGCGGGAGCTGGGCAGGCCTGGCATGGCTGGGGTCTGGCTCCCTGCCCGTGGCTGAGTAACCCTTGTTCCCCCTAGTTTCTGGAGCAGAAGTACGGCTACTACCACTGCAAGGACTGCAACATCCGTTGGGAGAGCGCCTACGTGTGGTGTGTGCAGGGCACCAACAAGGTAGGCCTGGTGCCCTGGGGGTTGCCCCTCTGCCCCTGGGCTCTGACTGCCACTGACCCGCCTTCCCCCTTCCTCCAGGTCTACTTCAGGCAGTTCTGCCGGACATGTCAGAAATCCTATAACCCCTACCGCGTGGAGGACATCACCTGCCAGGTGAGCACCGCCCCTTCGGGCTAGCTAGCGCACTGGGGAGCCCTGTAACTTGGCCTACTTCAGGGAGGTGGTTTGTGGGGCCTTCACCACCTTTCCTTCCAGTAAGCCTGGGAACTCCAGCTGTGCTCTAGCACCGCAAGTGTGTTGGGGCTTTGTCAGCAGCCTCACTCCTGCTCAGTGCAGGGAGGCTATAATCTAAACTACTGTAGCTAATGCTGCTCCCCCCCACAAGCTTGCAGATCTTTCCCGCCTTGCCTGTATCACTGCAATTCAGGTACTTTCTCCTCCAACATCCTTGCTTCTTTCTAGAGCTGTAAGCAGACCAGATGCACCTGCCCTGTGAAAGTGCGCCATGTGGACCCCAAGAGACCCCATCGTCAAGATCTCTGTGGGAGATGCAAAGGCAAACGTCTTTCCTGTGATAGTACATTTAGTTTCAAATATATTATTTGACTGGGATACTTCTTGTTTAAAGGATCCTAGTGTAAAATTGCAATCAAAGCAGTTTTTTTCTTTTGAAAGAATATATAATATGGTGGGGTATGGCTGGGCAAACCTACAAATAAAGGTATGGCGAAGCACTGTTATAACAGATAAGGCATGCTCATGTCTACCTTCTTTGAGTATGGAAGTTGCAACATTTACATTAGGAATGGGGGAAGAAGGCTCTGTCATACAAGGAAGAGTAGTCCTGTGGCTGACTTATTGTTATGGTGACAACATCTAGCAGTTTCTGCTTCTGGAAGAGGCAGACATGCTTTCCTAGTGACCTCCCTATGCTTCAGGGAGACATCTCTGGGGAGTGACTTAGGTAGCTGAGTCTCAAACAGATTACTGGTGTAAACTACCTCTATTGCTCTATGTAAAGCATCCATCTCATTTACCACAAGAATGAAAATCCAAGGGTATCCTTCCACAATACAGGCAAATATTAATGTAGGATTGCAATTTAACTAAATGTTCTACAGTCACTTACTAGTGTAGGAGTACATAAACATACACAACTTTCTTCCTATCAATCACTTTAACATCTGAAAGTTAGCAATTCTTGACTAGGCAGAGGGCTAGTCAGATCATGAAACAAAATGTGTATAATCCTAGGCTTGAGCTGAAGACAAGTAGCTAGTTTAGTTGTAGAAATGGCTATCACTAATCTGAATACTTCCAGGGGCTGTTGTAGCACTACCTTTAATGCAACCCCCTAACCTAAAAGGGGTATGTACTCCAGGTGTGCATAGCTGTAAAGGAGAGAGGGTAAAATGAAACAGCTGTTGCTAATAGACTAAAGTTTTTCAGTGTCTGTGTGTAGTTTTTTAATGTTTCAATCAATTTGTAATTGATACAGATCAGTGTGGCTATCAATAACTATCATGGCTGCATTTTTCACTTATGGAGCCTACTGTGAAATAGCTTACTTCTATTCTAGCTGCTTTATTAGCTAATCTGATAGTGACTGTTAATTTTCTCTACCTGTGTCTTTTTCAAACTGTAGACAAAAGCTTCTGTTACCAAGAGTCAGTAATGTATAACTTTTTTTCTGTGAAACTCTCCTTTAAAGATAACACATTGCTAATAACCAGCCTTCTTTTTGACTTGATACACCCCAACATTTATTTGTCGACTGCAACACTATTACCATGAGGAAGGGTGGTATTATGTAGCAATTTCAGAAGGAAGTTGCTATAAGAGGAAACTGTTGCATAATTTTAAACAAATCTTCCTTACTGACCCACAGCCACTATCCTAAGATGGAAAACACAAGATAGGGCTGTCTGTAACTTCTGGAGGTGCCTTTAAACTCTGCCTGTACCTATCACATATCCACAGTGCTTGGCTTCTGCCTGCTTGCATATGATCCTCCCCTTCTCTAACTGTGAAGAAAGTCCTTAAGGTATATGAGAGGATTTGTGGCAGACATGAACTGGAACCATAGTATGAGTAAGTAGAACCAGGGAATTGCTGTCTCCCAACCCCACAATAGCACAGTACTGGCCTGAAGTCATTGCTGCTGTAAGCTATGTTGACCCTCTGTAGGAACCAGCACTTATTGGGAAAGATACTCATTTATTAGTAGTAAACATCAATTTCTTATCAAATGTTGCATCCTACTTAAAAGACTACTCTCCATAATTACCTCTAATTACAGTTTGATGTATGGAATGTAGCTTATAAGCAATTGGATGAAAACTATAGTAAGTGTCGTCTTCTCCACTGCCCCCTTCCACTGTTCATCAAGCTTGTGGTCAGATTCCTAGGCAACAGTGCTACTGTATACTGAAGACTTTTTTTATTAAAAAAAAAAAACTCCAATATTTTTTAAAAAGCACTTTCTTTTTTGGAAAGACAGAACATAATCTTTCTTAAATAAGGTCTTTTAATAATTAAACTTAGTATGTCTAGATCTAGTAATGTAGGGCCTTCTGCAGGCAGTTACTATGAAGTTTTTCATACTTTAGTGAAAGTCCATTAGATCTGCTACTCTCTTCTCTCCCTTTCTCAGTGAAGATGGGAAAGGGCACACTACATAAGAGTGGAAACCAGTTGTTTTTTTTCCTTATAGTAAAGGTAGACTTGGAGATAATTGCTGCATTTAGTTATGTACAGAATTCTAGTCTACATCTATTAATGCAAACCTTTTAAAATGTTTGCCATATAATACCATGTAAAGCAGTTGGGTAGACACAACCTTTAACAAAAGTAAGGATAATCAGTTTGTAAAACAGGACATGGATTTTCTAATTTCAAATGATGTAATGTGTATACATTACTCCTCCTTGCTATTTTTTGTTTGCAGTACATTCTTCATCCTTTTTAATAAGTTTGTATTCTGCAGCTTGTAGGATGACCTTCTACATCCCTCTTTTCTCCCCTTCACAAACTTGTTTCTAGGTATGCAGTTAAATGTTACAGCTGGAATCACAGTGGTGACCAACTAGCTTTTAAATGCCCTTCTGACCTAGTTGCAGTAACCCAGATTCAGTGTTTTAGCACAGATTTGTTCCCAGCATAAATATAATTTGTTTTGCCTCTTCCTATTATCCATTTCTGCCCAACTGTGTGTTTGGAAATGTAGGCAACTTTACTGCCTGTGCTGAGTAATTGGGGTATTTTCCAGATGAATTTTCCACATTTGAGTTCTGGGATTTTTAATATTTGGTCCTGGAGTCTATCACAGAACACTAGAGCCATTTTGAATGTGGAGACCTATTTATAAATTTAGGATGTTGAATTATTTTGCTGGGTCCTAATGCACAAAAACCCAACAGCTCAGCAATCCTAATTCTGGGGCAAACTAAAGTGGTATCTGAAAAATGACAGATTGAGTTGTTCAGGTTCATAGACCTATACATTGCCAAATTGATTCCTCTGATGGGATGGATGAAGCTGAAGCCCCAGCTCTATGCTTGGGGCTTGATGTTTGATACTATTGGATTAGTGGCGATAAGGAATGGCTGATCAAGTCCATTTTTTTGGGGGGGGGTAGTTGAAGCTTGTTAGCCAGAGTGACTGATGCTCTGACAAGACAATTACTAAAGCTTTGAAGGTTGACTACTATTGGTCCAAGACTCATAGATGCAGTATTGGAAGTGTACCTATCCATCCCTCACGTCCTACTACTTGGTGTGGTTAGAAACACTCCTAGAAGAGAGTTGAATGGCAACAGCTAAGGTAAATAAGGCTAGAACTTTTCAAGAACTGGACCCTGTAGGAGGGGAGAGGATACTTTGTTTGCCATACAAGGAGGAATTCAGTAAGATTGCTCTGCCAGCTGGGGATCTAGCTTACCCTTCCTGATCACTCTACTGCTTCACCAGCAAGGATTTGAAAAGGAACAGACTGCTCTGGGAGCATGAGCTTGACATCTCCACCTCCCTCAGTCTCCAAGAACAACAGGTAACCTTTAATAGACCTCCAAGTTGACTTGTTTGTTTGGGGGTTTTTTTTTGGGTAACTTCTGTGAAAGTGATGGAAATGCTAGCTCAGAATTTGGACTAAAGCAACCACCTTTCTTCTGCACCCACTTAAGACTCCCGGTGAGGAAGTATGATGCAATAGCAGCTAGTATGCTAAACATATCCCAGATAAGGGATACATAGTACCAATATTTTGGTAATAGGAAAGAGGAAGAGTGACTTGTCCTTTGTCCAGTTCATATTCAATAAATGCAGGGCATAGCTTAAAATTGTAGGGAAATGATAGAATTTATCTATATTCTCCCTTATGCAATTTTGTCATTTGTCTATATCCCTTTCCATTACCCATTAAAGTTATTGCTCATCTTCCCTCCTACCAGTTTAACAAATTGTAATTGTTAGACTATGAACTGAACCAAACAGCACAGGAAAAAATGTAAATCCCCTTCCCTTTCAAAACCTGAAAGTCCAGATGTGACGAAGTGTAAATGTAGAACACAAATGGACTGCTTATGCATGTGAATAGTTTGTTGGCTTGCATCTCTGGGTATCCACTGATAGAGTGGCCATAACTCTCAAGGGGAAGACTCTCTGAGGGAAAGATGTGAGTTGCTGTATTGCGGGGGAGAATGCAGCAGTAGTGGTGTTGGTATGCAAGGACAAACTGCCATGCCTCCAGCATGGCAGCAAGCTTATATGTGGTTGTCCAGCTACTGCTTTTTCTGCTGCCTCATTTCCCTTTCACTCTGGTTTTGGTGCCTTTTTGTATTTTCCCTCCATCTCTCCTACTCTTCCCTTCCCAATGCTCCTTCAAATTCTTGGAAGGACATGCTTGTCCCTGTCTTTCTTCTTATGTTGACTGTCCTGAGATTTTCCTCCTAGGTTCGTTTGTGCGCACGCGCTCGCTCGCTCTCTCTCTCCTCTCTTCTCCCCGTTCCCCCCGTGGTGGTGGTTTTTTTTTTTTTTTTTTTTCTCCTCTTCCTACAAATGATCTGAGACACTGACTACTGGCTTCTTCTATGTAGCTATAATACTGGCCACTTATTTCTAAAGTGAGGGTTGTAGAGTGCCAGTGTGAAAAGATGAGTCTCTTTAAATATGTTTGCTGGGGAGTCTGCTGTATATTAGAATTTGGCTTAATCATATCAATATGTGGAATGATGGAAAATTTCTTTTCCTCCCAATCCATTATTAATGGGCTGTGCCTTCTCTGCCCAGATTGGAGAGGTAGTTCACATTTCCATCAAATAGATATGGCCAAACCTCTAGAAATACTTATTACTAACTCCTTCAACTCATACCCATGTACATAATTACAATTTTGACCCATGTAGTTATAGACCTGTCAGCTCAACATTGATCCCAGGTAAGACAATGGAGCAGCTGATATGGGACTTGATCAATAAGGAATTACAGGAGGGTTACATAATTTAATGCAAATCAACATGGGTTTATGGAAAATAGATCTTTTCCAACTTCTCTTATGATTACAAGTATTGATAAAGGTAATAGTGTAAATGTAATATACTTAACCTTTAA